TATAACACAAATTCTGGTAAATTTAAAATTCAGAGTTTCCTCACACATTGTAAGAAATCTTAAATTAATTTAAAAATTTCATACAATTTAGAAACTGTTTATATAGTGTATTTATTTCCATAGCAACATTTTTATTGATCTCGCAATTTTAATTTAAATGCTCAGTGATCACGTACGTTATATATATAGTAATTTCATTTAAATTAAAGGAAAGGAAAGAGACTATTGTATTTCTTGTGAAATTTACATTGTCATTTTATATTCTAGAACAATATATTTATGACTCCTACATTTTAAACTGTACTTATTATTTTTCAAATAAAAAGTACAAATTTTATAAATCATAACATCAATCACAATTAAAACATTTAATGTATTTTTTAAGAAGCTTATTAACTATCAATTATGTAGTATACGGAAACTTAAATATACAAAAATTGACAAGCAATTCAATTATATATCTACATTAAGAGGGACTAGTATAATCAATTTTTCTTAAAATACAATAATAAACAAAATTTAATAGATATGTTTTATATATGATCCCCGGTTACGGAAACTCTCATGTATTTAAAACACATTATTTCGTCATTCTTTTTAATCTTCCAAAGTAACATTCTTAAATAAGTATGACATGGACTCTTTATTATGTATACGTCTAATAGCCTCTGCTAGCAAAATACTGATATCAACAGTCTTTATTTTTGGACATTGCATCTTTTGAATATCGTGAGGAACTGTATTTGTGACAACAACCTAAAAATTATAATTATAAATTTAACTTCTATAAAACTTAAATTAAAAAAATTATATAACCACGGCTCGTGAAAAAACGATCTTATACTATAATAAGATTTCTTTCTATTAAGTACCTCGTCAATTGGTGATTCTTCTATTAATCTTGGAGCATCAGAGCTTAAAAGACCATGTGTAGCTAAAACATAAATTTTGTATGCTCCCCTTTCTTTAAGAACTTCGGCTGCAGCTACATAAGATTGAACATCATCTATCATGTCATCCTGAAATTTAAAAAATTGTAATGGAATATTCTATTACTGTTTAACTTTTATCTTCAAAAAGTACATACCACCATAATAGCTATACGTCCACCTACATCCCCCACAACATTAATTGGTGGCTTTTCTTTTGCAGGATGCATTGGTACACCAACTCCAACTTCCATTGTTCGTGAAGCCAATGCAGGTGGAGAATAACGCCCATCATTCATATCTGACTCTGCTTCTCGCTGTTCCCCATGAATTACTGCTATTCCCAAACGTAATCTTTCTGCATAACTAGTTGCCTTTTTTGCACTGCCAGGATTTCTTGCAACTATCACTGAATTGTGATAGTCTGGTATCTGATTAAATAAAAATCAATGTTAAAACTTGAAAACATATGACAAACATTTTTAATAACATTGTTTACACACAGATTCTTGAATGTATTGCAGTAAAAATGGACTGGCACGTAAATTATCCACAGGCACATCAAAAAAACCTTGTATTTCCTTTTGATGCAAATCCATTGTAATTATATGAGTTAAACCACTCTTACAAAGCATTTTTGCTAATAATTTAGAAACTATACAACCTCGTTTACGCATTTTGCATTGTTTAGAATAAGGTAAATATGGAATGACACCAACAATATTTTTTGCAGAAGAAGTTTTGCATGCATATGCCATAATCAAAAGCTCCATTATATTATTGTTTACATCCTTTGTTCCAGTTTGAATAATATAAAGATCTTTACTACGTACAGAGTCTCCAATTTCAACCATAGTTTCACGATTTGATTTGTGATATACAGAGCATCCTCCATGTTTAACACCTAATCGGCTATAAATTAGAAAAATTATATTTAAAATATAAATTATTAAAATTAT